CAGGGTACAGTGGGCAGAAGCGTTTTCAATCAAGGACCAAAGCCTTAGAGTCTAGGTGAAGAAAACCTGGCTTGAAAATCCTTCCTGGCTTGAGTTCAATGAACAGCATCTTAGGGCATTCCCCTTGGTGCCCTTGGTTTGCCCATCCCGACTTAGCCAAGCTGAGGTCCCAGCTTCAGTGTCCAGGATGTCCAGGTGGATTAGTGATTGACATACAGGTGGATGGAAGGATGGTTGGATGATTTGATGGATTGGTGTTTGAATGGTTGGTAGTTAGAAGGATGGATGATTCAATAGATGGATGGAAGGATGGACAGGTGATTGGATAGTTGGAAGGTAGATGGGAAGTTGGATGGATAGATGGACAGGTGGGTGACTGACTAAATGGAAGGATGGGTAGATGATTTGATGGGCTAGTAGTTAAATGCTTGGTAGATGGATAGATGCATGATTACATAGATAATGTTGGTTGGGTGGTTGAATAGGTAAAAAAAAAAAAAGAATGGATAGGTGGGTTGATTTGGTTGGTAGTTGGATGAATGGGTAGATAAATGGATAGGTGGATTTTGTTGTTGCTGTTAATCCTCACCCTAGGACATATTTTTCCCCTTTGGTTTTTAGAGAGAGTGGAAGGGAGGGAAGGAGAGGGAGAGAGAGAGAGAGACAAACATCAGTGTGAGAGAGTCACATCAGTTGGTTGCCTTCCACACACACCTCAACCGGGGCCGGGGGTTGAACCTGCAACCCAGGTACATGCCCTTGACTGGAAATGGAACCTGCACTCCTTTGGTGCACAGACCAATGCTCCAACCCCTGAGCAACACCCACCAAAGTGACAGGTGGATGTTCTGATGGTCAAATGTCTGGCTGTCAGATGATTGACTAGATGGATGTGTTGATGGACGTAAAGACAGATGTACTGCTGGCGAAGGTCTTATAGTTCTTATTAAAAGAGTCCATCAGGGTGGAGATGGGTAAGAAGATCTTACCTGTTTTGGTGTCTCCCATGATGTCTAGCCCACACACTACGTGGTACGTGGTAACCAACGTGCGAATGAAGACTTGCGTCTGTCCAGCCCCCCACTCAGAACAGCTTCCTCTGACGGCAGCGATGATGGCTCCTCCACCCCGCTCCCCACAAGCCAAACCCTGTCTGGCACCTGGTACGCACTGTGCACAGAGCCGTGTTGAGACACCACTGCCTACTCGCTGGGCTGGCGGAAGTGAAAGACCACAGTTGTCGGTGAGGACGTGGAGTTGGGACCCTTCACATGCTGCCGTCGGGTTTACGATGGGGCAGCTCCTTCGGAAGAGTGTGGCAGTTCCGCAGAACGAGTTGTCCTGTGACCCAGAGAGTCCACTCCTCGGTGTATGCCAAGGGAATTGAAACGTCAGTTCCCACAAAACGTGTACGCTGATGTACGTAACAGCATTATTCATGTAGCTAAAAAGTGGACCAGCTCAAATGTCCATCGACCACGACTGGGTAAGAAAATGTGCGTATTGCCCTGGCCGGTTTGGCTCAGCGGTTGGAGCGTCGGCCTGCAGACCAGAGAGTCCCCTGTTCGGTTCCCGCTAAGGGCATGTACTTCGGTTGCAGTTTGTCTCCAGCCCCGGTTGGGGTTGTGTGGGTGGTAACCAGTCGATGTGTCTCCCTCACATCGATGTTTCTCTCTCTCTCTTCCTCCTTCTCTCCCTCCTGCTCTATCTGAAGATAAATGCAAAAATGTCCTCGGGTGAGGATTAAAAAAAAAAAAAGAAAGGAAATGTGCATATCCACACAATGAAATACTGTTCAGCCGTGGAAAGCAATGACGTACTGACATACACCACGATGTAGAGGAAGCTTGAGAACACATGGTGAAAGCAGCCAAACACAACAGACCACACAGTGTATGATTTAAAATGTCCAGAACAAGCAAATCCATAGCGACAACAGATTAGTGGTTGCCAAGGGGTGGGGGACAGGGAACGAGGAACGGCTGCTGTGGGTGTGGGGTTTCTTTTGGGAGGACGAAAACGTTCTGGACTTAGATGGTTGCACACCGAATGTACTAAAAACTACAGAACGTACGCTTTATTATTATTATTTTATCCTCACCCCAGGACACTTTTCCATATTTTGTTCAGATAGAGTGGGAGGGGAAGAGAGAGAGAGAGAGAAACATCGACGTGAAAGGGACACATCGAGTGGTCGCCACCCACAAGACCCAACCAGGGCCGGGGACAAACTGCAACCGAGGTACGTGCCCTTAGCGGGAACCGAACCTGGGTCTCTCTGGACCACAGGCTGATGCTCTAACTGCTGAGCCAAACTGGCCAGGGCCAGAACGTACGCTTTATAAGGGTGAATTTTATGTAGCAATAAAGCTGTTTATTTATACATATTTAAAACCCCACCAAAGACAGATGCTGACATGTACATGAAGTGGAGGTGGGACTTGGACACAGGGAGGTGCTGGCCCAGTGGGCGGGGAAATCTGTGCACCTGGGCCCCAGAGCAGGAGGCCCCAGGGTGGCCGCGGAGCTAGACCACAGGTTGGGCCCGTGGAGCCAGAGGACCGCAGGTAAAAGCAGCCACCTGGAACACTACAGCATAGTACCAAGCTGTCCTGGGTGACAGCCGCCCAGGGGCCCTGAGCGTGATGGCTGGAGGGTGTGAACTCCAGGGGGCTGGCCCCCTGGGTGGCAGGGGGTCTCCCATTTTCTAAGGTCTGTGGTGATTGTGCACAGAGGAAGGGCATCCATACTCCAGGCAGGAGCAGGTGAATGACCCTCTCTGAGCCTTGGTGTCCTCATCTGTAAAATGGGAATAAGACTCCCTCCCTCCCAGGGTATTGTGGAGATGAAACGAGACCATTTATATGAAAGCTCTTTGTAAGCTGCTAAGTGCTGGGCAGATGTTCCTCCAGATGTGGATCGGATAGAACTCAGCTCTGGCGCCCTCCCCCACCCACTCCCAGTGCCAGGCAGCTGGAGAGCTCAAACGGAGCTAAGGGATGCCGGCAAGTAGGCACGGACTTTCCCCACGCTCTGGGTGGGGCCTTATGCCCCTGGGAAGGATCCCTTCCTCTCCTTGCAGCTCTGACAGGAAAACCAGGCCGACGTTCAGCTCTGTCAGGACTCGGTTCCCAAGGAAGCCCACCACACCCTCTGATAACCACCCCCACGTCCCCACCTCGGCTCGGGGCATGGAGGAGAACTGGGTTCAGGAGCCTGCTGGGCCTGCAGGGACACGGGCACTGGGTTCTGCTTGGAAGGACACAGCCCCCCCCCCGCCCAGGTCCAGGAGCGTTACCGGCATTGGGGTTCTTGGGTTCTCCAAGACAGAAATTGAGAGGAAACCCCAGAGACACTTCCAGGCAGATTTTATTAAGTTCATGCTTGAGCACAAGGGAGGCAGCCCAGAGGAAAGGCGGGTTCTCCGAACTGGCCGAGGCGGACTCTGCTTGGCTGCTTTTGTAAACTGGGGACAGGACGGGCTTGCGTGGAAAGGCAGGCGTTTTGCAAATTCTTCCATTTCAGGATCTTGCGACTTCGTTTTCCTGCTGCGTTGCCTGGTAACTACGTTCGCACCTGCAGGGCGAGACGGAGGTGTGCCCCCCCGCTGCCAGGAAGGTCAGGGAGCTCAGGGAGCTGTCAAGCCTTGATCATGCACGTTAGGGTCGGTAGTTCCAACACCTGCAAGGAAGCAGGCTGTTAGAGGGAGGGAGGTAAAATCAGCTACTTCTGCGTTTCTGAGCAGGGAGTGGAGAGGTCTTGACATTTTTGAGGCCAGCTTGTCCCGCCTTCCTCCTGGCTGCCTAGTCTTGGCTTCCTGGCCACCCGGTATTTTTCCCAAGTGCCTGTGCTGTCTCAGGAGGTCCTGCTCACTCCAGTCTTTCTGTCTTTCCATCCACCCATATTCCCAGGTCCAGCCCACATTTGAAGAGTACAGAGCACGTGGACATGGTGTGGAGGGGGTAGACCTTGCAGGAGAAGGGGTGAGGGCTCAAAGGGAGGCCTCTGAAGCTGGTCAGACCCGGGTTTAAATCCTGGGTACTAGCTGTGTGACCTTGGGAAAGTCACTTAACTTCTCTGTTTCAGTTTCCCCCTCTATAAAACAAGGATCAGCCTGGCCGGTTTGGCTCAGCAGTTGGAGTGTCGGCCTGCTGTTCAGAGAGACCCGGGTTCAGTTCTCACTAAGGGCACGTACCTCAGTTGCAGTTTGTCCCCAGCCCTGGTTGGGTTGTGTGGGTACCAACCACTCGATGTGTCCCTTTCACGTCGATGTTTCTCTCTCTCCCTCCCACTCTATCGGAACAAAAAATGAAAAAATGTCCTTGGGTGAGGATTAAAAAAAACAAAACAAAACAGGATCAGAACAGTATCAAGCTTACAGTTGTCATATTTGTAAAGTTCTCAACACAGTCCTCAGCCCTTAAGGGTTTGCTACTATTATTATCATGGACAGTTGATGTGTAACTGGGTAAGTACTGAAATTCATGCAACAAGCTTAAAATTTTTTTTTCTTTATTGATGTTAGAGAGAGAGAGAGAGGAAGAAAAAGGGAGAGAGAGAGAGAGAGAGAAACATTGATGAGAGAGAACATCGACTGGCTGCCCCCCACTGGGGATCGGGCCTGCAATCCGGGCATGTGCTTTGATTGGGAATCGAACCGGTGCATGGGTCGAAACTCAAGCACTGAGCCACACCAGCCAGCAATGCAACAAGCTTTTATTAGGCACCTACTGTGTGCTGGTGCTGGGGACCCAGCAGTGAGCAGGGTACTCATCCTGGCCCTGTGGGTCCTGAGGAGGGTTACGTGTGTTTGGGTGCGGCAGGGAGGGAGGGTAGTGCCTGGGTGAGGGCCCTGGTGCAGCCGCTGCCCTGCGGGCAGGGAACACCCTTGCAGAGGAGCAAGTAAGCCTGTCCGGCCCTGTCCCCACCACACCCAGCCTCGCCCGGGACCAAGCGGAGTGACTTGGCACATTCCTGGGGCGAGACAGGGAGGATTGAGGGTTTGGAGCAGGACGGTAAATATAAGGCCTCTGGGCTCCTTTCTCCTTCCTGCGCACTTGCCCTTCATCGCGGCCAGTGAGTAGGGGCCGGACCGGGTGGGGGCAGGCCCTGGCTAAGCCACCCTCTCTCCAGGGCTCTGAGGCTCTGGCTGCCAGCCGCTGGGCCCTGCAGTCCAGGGGGCAGTCCTGCATTGCCCTGTCGGTCTGTGTCTCCTAGTGCCACCCTACACCATCGTCTACTTCCCTGCCCGAGGTGTGCCACCTGCTCCTCGGGGAAGACAAAGGGCACCGATGGGCACAGGCCAGACACTCAGGCTGCTCCCTGGTCTCGGGGGCTGGGGTGGGACTGGCTTCTGCCGCTATTCCTGTCTTCCCTGGGGCACGGAGGGGCGGGGTGTCCCCCTCTCAAAGGCACTCTTGGGGCCTGGTCTCCATTCTCCTTCTGAGGTCCACCCGCTCCCCGACGGCTGCAGGTTTGGGGTTTCTGTTCCGTCCTCACTCCCGTCTGCTGTCCCCAGGGCGCTGCGAGGCCATGCGCATGCTGCTGGCTGACCAGGGCCAGGACTGGAAGGAGGAGGTGGTGACCAAGGACGCCTGGCTGCAGGGCCCCCTTAAGGCCTCCTGTGTGAGTGCTGATGCCCGACGGGGCAGGGACTGAGCCTTGGGGGACAAAACTAAGGTAGGGGATCCCTGAGCTCAGCGTCCCTCGCCAAGCTGTGCCATCTTTCCAGCTGTATGGGCAGCTCCCCAAGTTCCAGGATGGAGACCTGACCCTGTACCAGTCCAATGCCATCTTGCGCCATCTGGGCCGCTCCCTCGGTGAGTGCTGAGATCCAGGAAAGTACCTGCCGGTCCCAGCAGGATTTCGAGGCGCCTGGCTGCACACAAAGCCACTAGGGCCCTGCCCGGCTGAGGGCCCTGGGGGAAGGGGCAGGACTAGTCAGGAGGGCTCTGGGTTACGGGGATGGGGTGGCCAGTCCACCCGGGCAGGGGCCACACAGCTCAGGCTAGCCCCTAGCCAGGCAGCGCCAGATGGGGTCACTGTGCCCAGCTCAGAGACGCCGCCAGCCCCACGTGTGTGCGTGGCAGGCTAGCGGTCCCTGCGGGCTTGGCCAGGGGCTTCCAAGTGGACCTCCTGCCCATTTCTTCCTGCTCTGGCCTTTCTGAATCTGGAGATCCATGGGTGCAGGGGCAGGCCTGTGGCCTTTCAAGGACGGCAGGAATGTGGCTCAGGGAGGTGGCTGCCTCTTCAGCCAGCCTGGGGGTGGTGGTGCGGAAAAGCTCCCAGTCCCAGGAGGACGTGGCTGCTAGGGAAGGGGGTGAGGAGCAGTGGGACCCTAACTTCTGCAGGACCCAGGGTGAGGACAGAGACCTTCTGCAGCCTGTCACCTCAGGCTTCGGGGAGGATGCTTGGGGCCATTTGGGCAGGAAACTGAGTCCCAGGCACCAGGGATGTGGCGGACTCGGGAAGCTGGAAGCAGGCAGAGCTGAGCAGAGCGGACCTGGTTGCCCAGGCCTGAGGCCTGCGGGCCCTTGGGGGAGGGGCGCAGCAGGGTGCGCGCGCAGACACAGCGGACCCGGCCTCGGACCCGGCCTCTGACCCAGGGCTCTACGGCAAAGACCAGCGGGAGGCAGCTCTGGTGGACATGGTGAACGACGGTGTGGAGGACCTCCGAAGGCTCTGTGGTCACCTCATCCGCCACAACTATGTGCGTGGGGGCCGAGGCTGGTGCTCAGGGCCAGGCCCGGGGGCGGGGAGGTCATCGGCCCAGGCACACTACAATCCGCCACTGGGATCGCCCCCGTTCGCAGGAGAAGGACAAGGCCCAATATGTTGAGGAGCTGCCTGGGCACCTGAAGCCTTTTGAGACCCTGTTGGCCCAGAACCAGGGGGGCCAGGCCTTCATCGTGGGTGACCAGGTGAGTGCGGGGTCTGGCCCATTGTGGGTCCATTTCTCAGGTGGGCAAACAGAAGCCCAGAGCAGGGCCATGACTGCTTCTTTGGAGCAGCCAGAGTTCTGGCCCCAGCACCCATCACCCCTGACCCTGCTCAAGACCCCGGCCCCTGCCCCACAGATCTCCTTCGCCGACTACAGCCTGCTGGACTTGCTGCTGAACCACCAGGTCCTGGCCCCCGGCTGCCTGGACTCCCTCCCCCTGCTCTCGGCCTACGTGGCCCGCCTCAGCGCCCGGCCCAAGCTCAAGGCCTTCCTGGTCTCCCCCGAGCACGTGAACCGCCCCGTCTTTGGAGCCCGAAAGATATGAGCCCACTCGGCAGCCCCAGGAAAGGGGTTGCCCTTGGGAACCAATAAACACAGTGGGAGGAAAGTTGTGTTGTGGTCAATGAGGGACCAGGTGGGCACAGGGGACCCCCTGTCCCTTCCCAGGTTGCCTCAGGGACAGGGAGGGCCCAGCTGGTGGCTGGGAGGCTGGGCCCTGAATGGCTCTAGGCCCGAAGCTGCTAGGAGACAGAGGAGTTCGAGTCCAGAGAGGAAAATGACTCCACACCACAGGGGTGCATCCGGAAGACTTCCTGCAAGAGGGAGCTAACCACGCCGGAGGCACCCGGATTACAGTGACGGGGGACCCCCAATCTGAGAGCAGGGTGGCTGTGGCTGTACTGGACAGACCCTGCTGTCTGTGTGATGAGCCCCGTCTTCTGTGCACACAGGTACACTGGGGAGCGACCCACACGCTTGGGTGTTTCACATGGGCTCTCACGTTGTCCGCGCTGGTGTGTCACCCACGGTCACCCAGGCCGTGTAGCAGGTGGCCAGCAGGTGTGTGGCTGAAGGCAGATTTGGAGCTCTAGTCAGCCTCCCCTTGGGGATCAAGTGGAAGGACAAGGTCTCCCTCCGCTTCAGCGAACCTCTGTCAGCCCCAGGCGGGGTGCCCCACCCAGTGCCCATGCCCAGTCCACCTCTCCCTCCTGAAAGGCTGTGGCTGCCTCCCCCCAACTCCCAACCCTCAGTGCCCCTGGTGAGCTACCTGAGACTCTCTTCCCTGCTCTGGTCCTGGACCTGGGCCTGGCGGTCGGGACCCCTGCCTGTCCTTCCCCAGCTGTGCAGCCTTGGACAAGTGACCGATCCTCTCTGACATCACAAAGCGCCACACTGTTTACTGAGCACCTCCTCGGGGCCAGGCACTTGCAGGTCTTGATCTCGTGTTACAGATGAGAAAGCTGAAGTCAGAGCTGGAACTTGTACCCTGCCTGCCAAGCCTCGTTTCTCTCCCAAAAGCCCGGGAAATGCTCTCGAATGTGCTCTGGACAAAGTGGTCATTGAAGAGGTTATTTACAATGTTAATGTTAGTTAAATGTTAAATATCCTGATTGAAATAAACTTAAAGCCACAGGGAATGTGAGAAGCCAGAGCACAGGTCACAGCCAAGCCCTGGCCTGCTGTCCCCAGCTCTGCAAACACTGAGGATGAAGTTGGGGTGAGCGTGTGCCCTGAGGCTCCTCACAGACCCGGCAGACAGCTACCCCCAGTTTGTCTGGATGTGTTTTTGGCAATGAAACCACACTTGAGCTCCAAACCTTCTCGGAAGACTTTGGACGGGGTAGGGCAGCCTTTGAGCCCGCGGAGGGACAGGCTCCGGGTGCAGCCGGCGTCCCGCAGGCCTGAGCTGCGTTTGTGGCCCCTGCAGCTTATTCTCACGAGCCTTGATCCTAAGAGCGGCACCCAGGGGACAGAACAAAACAGAGACCTTTGGCCCACTCATCTGCTGCGCCCGAGATTCCGCTTCTGGCTCAAAAGTGGTTCAACCATGAGAAGGGGCCTCTCAGAGATTCGGGCTCAGTCTTCAGACAGACCCGCTGATTAGGCCACACCTGTGGAAAGTTACCATTTTGAGAGTTTGAAGCAGATGTTTTTTCCTGTTATTCCAAAAATAGGGACACTGCGACTTTGGCTCATAAACCCTGCCAAGGCAGAGTGCAGTCTGGGATGGCCACTCAGCTCCAGCCTGGCAACCCTACCGGACCCCATCGTCTCCTGCTGGGAAGGCCCTGTCCTCCCGACTCGTGGGACCCCAGCCCAGCCACTCACGAGCCCTGGGCCCAAGGGGTGAGCCCATGAGCGCGGCGGGGTCCATCAGTCCTCCCGACCCGTCCAGACAGCAGCCGCGGGCCCGGCGCCAGGAGCGCCCTCGAGATTCGGGCTTTTCTTTCTGTGCACAAGGCTGTGAGGATGTGAGTTCAGACAGACTGTGGGGTTGGTTGTAGCTGAGAGTGTAGCCCATGTACAGAGAAGTGTGAGAGTGTGCATGTGTTTGTATGGGTGTGACCATGTGTGTTTGTGTGTGTGACAGTGTGTGCTTGTGTGTGTGAGCATGTGACAGTGTGTGTGTGAGTGTGTGTTGGTGTGTGTGAGAGCATGTGTGTGTGTGTGTGAGTGTGTGTCAGTGTGTGCTTGTGTTGTGTGTGTGTGTGTGTGTGTGTGTGCAGGTCCCTGATTCTAGTCCCTGAGAAACCAGCCCCACTCTGCCCTTCCCTGGCTGCTCCTGTGAGCCCGCTGTACATGCAGCCCTTTTGGAGATGAGTTTCTGTGACTTCTGTGGGAAGAGACCATGATAGTTTCAAAATATGTTCACAGATCTTTTGACAATTTTCACCTCAAAATGTGGAACCTAAGTTCCACCCCACTGGGCGCAGCTGGACAGAGTGGCTGCTAACTCACAGGTGTCGCGGAGGTAGTGGTGCCCGGCGTCCGAGACTGGGTCACAGAAGGGCCTGCGGCTTGCCGCTCCCTCCCCTCAGTGCTGGGGAGCCCGCTGCCCTGTCGAGGACACTCAGCGGCCCTGTGGAGAGGCTCAGGTGGTGAGGACCTGAGGCCTCCCACCAAAGCTGGCACAAAGTCACCTTGAGAGTCTCCAGCCCCAGGGAGCCCTTCTGACGCCTGCAGCCCAGCCACCACCCTGACCACAACCTCCCGAGAGACTGCGGAACCGCATCTTGCATTTCCCGTGTTCTGCCAAATACTGCCCCTCCTAGAATTAGCTTGTTCCCGAGATGGTGAGCAGCTGCCTTTCAAATGCAAACCAACGGATTCAGATCCCCCCCCCCCAGGACCCCCTTCACTGGGCTCTCACAGTGTGCCACTATCCCTGCCCTGACCGTCCTGCGGCGGCCGAGCCTGCTGGAGTGACCTTAACCACCCACTCCTACTGCCTTGCCCATTCCTTCCTTCACCACAGCAGAGGCTCCTGCCCGCAGCTGCCAGGCTCCCTCTGCCTCGTGCCCGCCCTGGTGCGGCCCCCTGCGGCCCCCGTGGCGTGGCGGGCCCGTGGCATGGCCCGTTCCCTTGGGCCCTGGGAGTAACAAACTACCTTGTTGATGGCAGTTACCTCTCGATCTGTTGGCTTTGCCATATCTAATAATAATACACCAGAAACCCTGTGAACAACCACCCGGCCAAATTCTCCCGAATTTCAGACTCAGAAACAGAGACAATAAATGCTTGTTGTTTTAAGCAGCTAAACGCTGAGGTAATTTGTTAGACAGAAATAGATAAAGCGTCAGAACCAAGGGACACCATCCGGCCACAGTGTGGGTCAAAGGGGAGCCGATTCCAAGGCTCACAAGGCAAGGCAGGTGCTCTGAGTTTTAATGAGCTGTTTTCCAGAGGTTTCCTGGTTCCTTCGGTGGAGGTTTGAGGTCCCTGAGGTCACTGACGCCTGCAGCCCCAGCCACCACCCTGACCACAACCTCCCGAGAGACTGTGGAACCGCGGCTTGTATTTCCCGTGTTCTGACGAATACTGCCCCTCCTAGAATTAGTGATGGTCAGTGCTTGGGACAAAGCCACATAACCTCAAACAGGAGCATTTCCTTTCACGGTCCCGACTCCTGACCGTGGACCCAGTGTGGCCCAGCACCCACGCCACGTTCCAGTAATTCATTTTTCCAGCGCAGCTCAGTCACATTGAAGAGGCCACCCTGCAGGTGAACGTCAGGTCCCACTCTGCCCTGTACTTGCTGGGTGATCCCAGCTAGAGACCCACACACGGTGACGTCGCGCTCAGCACAGCGCCTGGCACATGATGTGTTCACCGAATGGCTGGAACCCGTTGCCGTAAGAAGCCCGCTCTGCAGGACGATCGGCATCAGCTCGGGCCGTCCCGGTCCCGAGGGAGCCTCGTGTCTTCTTTCAGCACAGTTTGTACTAAGAAGCAAAGGAGCGAGAGGAAGGGTAGGTGGTAAGTTGACCTCTAGCAAAACTTGAAGTTTGACACTTTCAGCCAAGTAATCATTTGGGCACTTGAGTCTAGAACAAAATGAATAAGTATTGTGACTTCCTCTCCAAGCAGTTTTTAAAAACCCAGTGTTTTATTATTTAGCGCTTTTTTTCCCTGTTTATCTTCAGATAGAGTGGGAGGGAGGGAGGGAGGGAGGGGGGAGAGAGAGAGAGAGAGAGAGAGAGAGAGAGATGTGAGAGAGACATATCGATTGGTTGCCCCCCGCATGACCCCGACCAGGGCAGGGGACGAACCGAAACCTGAGGTACATGCCCTTGACCAGAATCAAACCTGCGACTCATTGGTCCGCGGGCCAACACTCTAACCACTGAGTCAAACCAGCCAGGGCTATTATTCAACGTTTTAAATCAATACTTTATTTACTTACAATTTTTTTTCAATTACAGTTGACATTCAATTTTATGTTATTTTCAGGTATACAGCATAATGGCTAGACATTTTTATAACTTACAAAGTGATCCCCCAATGAGTGCAGTCCCCACCCGGCACCATACATAGTTATTATAATACTATTGACTGTATTCCCTGTGTGTCCTCTGCATCCCCATGACTATTCTGAAACTACCAATTTGTACTTCTTAATCCCTCCACCTTTTCACCCAGCCCCCAACCCCCTCCCATCTGGCAACACTCAGTGTGTTCTCTGTATCTATAAGTCTGTTCCTGTTTGTTCATTTCTACTGTTTTTTAAATTTCACAAATAAGTGAAATCATACAGCATTTGTCTTTTCCTGTCTGATTTATTTTACTTCGCATAATACTCTCTAGGTCCATCCATGTTGTTACAAATGGTAAAACTTTATCCTTTTTTATGGCTGAGTAATATGCCATTGTATATATGTACTACACCTTCATTATCCAGCCATCTACTGATGAACACCTAGGTTGCTTTCATATCTTGGCTACTGTAAGTAATGTTTCAATGAACATAGGGATAACTATATATTTTCAAATTACTTCAACACATTATGAATAGGTAGAGAAATTCTTTGCCTCTTGGTGGGAGGAGCAGCCAATTCCCACCTCTGAGGGGCTCATGCAGGAGAACGGGAAGGATTTGGGGTCAGTTTGCAATCAGCCGCTGAGGTTCTTCAGGCAGAAGGTGAAGAATCGAAGTAGAAGAACAGAGATGCAAGAAGACCAGCAGGCACACTGGCGAATGTGTGGGTAATTTTTAGGGTAACCCAGAAACAAACAGAAACAGAGTGAACGCCATATCAACTAGCAGTTAGAAAAGTGGAATGATACACTCAGCCAATCCCAAAGGAGACAAGAAAGAGAACAGAACAGGCGGGGCAAGTAGCACAAGGACACACCGAAACACAGACACGCATCAGGAATTAAGCTGCATGTAATTAGACAACCCGCACAGATACGCCCAATCGATTTTTACAAAGATGCATGTTTTTGAACTTTATCTAAACGAAGTGATATACTATGTATTCCTTTGGGTGGTGTCTTTCATTTTTATAATGTCCGTGGGATTCGCCCTTGGTCATGGCAGTACTCTCTCGTGTGTCATTGTCTCATTACAACCGACTTTTCCATTTTCCTATTGGTCGGCATTTGGGTTGTTTCCAGTTTGGGGTTGTCATGAATAAAGAATTGGCTTGGCCCTGGCCGGTTTGGCTCAGCGGTTAGAGCATTGGCCTGTGGTCCGGAGAGACCCGGGTTCGGTTCCCACTAAGGGCATGTACTTCGGTTGCAGTTTGTCCCCGGCCTTCCCTGGTTGGTTGTGCGGGTGGCAGCCACTCGATGTGTCCCTTCACATCGATGTTTCTCTCTCTCTCTCCCTTCCTCTCTCTCCCTCCTACTCTATCTGTACAAAAAAAATGGAAAAATATCCTCGGGTGAGGATAAAAAAAAAAAAGAATTGGCTTGTGTGAGTGTGGTGCTTGGTGAATGCGAAGTCTGCAGGGTAGGCTGAAGAGCCAGGGAAGAGTTGGAGTTGATGGCAGTTCGCTGACAGAATCCCCTCTTCCTTGGGAGAGGTCAGTCTTTTTTTTTTTATTCCTCACCCAAGGATATTTTTCCATTTATCATTAGATAGAGTGGGAGGGAGGGAGAGAGAGACAGAGAGAAACATCGATGTGACAGAGACACATCAACTGGTTGCCTCCTGCACGACCCGACCAGGGCTGAGGACGAACCACAACCGAGGTA